AAAAAAGGGGAATAGCTTGCCATTTAATGAAGCTATAAGAGCGCCGAAAAATGGACAAATTTAATTGTAGGGCAATTAAGCATGCACAAAAATAAATTAATAACACGTACACATAGTAGGCACGCATAATATATTGATTTTAGGAAGACAATAAACTTTTAATTTAACTATAAAAATTCGTAAATTTAATTAATCGAAGGGCGCTTTAGCGCGGTTAGTGAAAGTGTTCACACGAAAGCAAACGCAGTTAGCGAAGTTTAAGAAAACAATTTTACATTCCATATTAGTTATAACTAATTAATAATGGCTCTAAAAATTTCCATATTAAAAGCTATTTTGGCATTTGTCAACACAATGCTGCCGGTGCGTATGAGTAACTTTCAAAGCTTACAAATATAATTGTTTACACGTGTAAATATTTGTTTTTCGTTTGCGCGACAGCTGCTGGGCATCGGACTGATTGCGCTTTCTGTTTACGACCTAAACACTTCGACGCCTGGCACTATGCAACACATTTCGATCGTAATACAAATATTTATTGGCTCGTTTGTGGTACTCACCTCATTTCTGGGCTGTTTTGGATTGTGCCGCGAATCGTTGGGTCTCACGTGGAGTGTAAGTAAATGTTATTATTTGAAATATAGAATTATTCGATAAAAATGAAATGAGCTTTTTTATTTTAAAAATTATTTTACTAGAAAAAAACTTTTAGGTTTGTAATGCAGTGCCTAGTAGGATCTTTAATATTGAACCGCTTTAGGACACTAATTATTATAGTAAAGGTGTTGCTAAGCCTAAATTAAATTGTTGTTATAAATAGTAAAACCCATTTGAATAATTTAGGTTGCATATCTCCTACAATAGGTATGTATATAAGGTGATTAAAATCTAAAAAAAAAATATCCGTAATATTTTTTGGTGCCACCCGAAATCGTAATTGTATTTGTTATAGAAATTGAAGTCACCATTATCATTATCGAATTTCGTTATCGGTATAGTTACGAGTATTGCTATCGATTTCCTTCTCTATATTTTATTTGTATTGCACCATTATTGTAATCGATTACCTTCTTGTCATCGATATCGCTACAGTTATCGCTTACAGTTATCGGTATAGGATTAGTTACTATTATTGTTATTGTTTTCCTTCTCTTTGTCGATATACATATATACATATATATATTTATCACTATTTATTTGGACTTTTACCTACTGTAATCAATTCCCTGTTAAAGATATCGACTTTTTTTCTCGTTATCGTTATCGATATACATAGTACACCAATATTATTATCAATATCCTTCGGGCTATCGTTATCGGTATACATAGCTATAGTTATAATTATTGTTACCGATTTAGTTATTGTTATCGTTATCGATTTTCATATATAGTTACTTATATGGTTGCGAAAAACCTTCTAGCTATTAGTATAGTTATAAATATATACCATTATTGTTATTGACTTCCACCTGATTACCGTTATCGATATACATTAGTGCGGGTAAGTTTTTGTTTTTACTATACGCGTCGCGCGATGCGATTAAAATAGCTGCCAGCGATCAATTGCACAAATTCATATATGGCGATGCTAATCACTGCACTATAAACACCTGCTAGGTCATAAACTTAGCCTAATAGCAGCCGCCCCAGGCAAACAATGGCTAGCAACCGAGTGTAATTTTCCATGGAAAAGATCCTGCAGCCGCCAATGCCTAAGCGGCAGGAGAGACAAAAAATTAATGTAGTTTCGCATTATCTGTCATTCTGCATAAAAAACTAAATTTTGAAAAAACTGCACTCGGCACCTTTTCACCTTTAGATAGCGATATGTTAATATAAAGAAAATAAAATTTTTTATGTATGAATTTTTGTAGTCTTAAAACGCGGTATGAAATTGCTAATTCACAAGTCAAGCTAACTCATATAATATAGTACATATGTACGCAAATATTTTCACATTTTCTACATATGTTCTTTTCTCTACCACTTTACAGTACGTAAGTTGCATGTTAATATTAGTCACATTTCAAATTTATTTGATTGTTGTGGCTGGCGTAACTGACTACGTACAGAATACGACCGATCACTTTGATATGCTGTGGAGCAATGTGACCGTAAATGCAGCCGAAATTGCACAAATTGAGCAACAGGTTAGTCGCTTTATACTACTAGAATGTACTTATTTGGTTGTAATTAAAGTACAAACATGGCTGTTCATTACTTGCGTGCATTATTTGTTCTTTACCTTCCAGTATGAATGCTGTGGCAAATCGGGTACCATAGACTATTTGCAACTGGACAAGCGTATACCAAAAAACTGTTACCGTAACTTTTCTGGCGCCGAGAATGATCTGTTCACAGAGAGCTGTTTAAAGTTGTTGCAGGAGATGGCACGTAAAAGTGATAGTACAGGGTTGGCAATTAAGTTGACGTTATTCGGGTTTGAGGTGAGTACTTCAGATGGGAATCTTTATATTAAATCTATTTTTTTTTTCGAATACGGTGAAACATCGAACATCGATATAACGAACCTTGATAAAACGAAAAACTCAATGCAGCCAAAGTTTTTTTCGAGTTCCCTATAACGAATTTTGAGCATAAAAACATTCGCAATACATTGACATTTGTCCAACACCTTCAATTTCGTTATATCGTGCTTTCACTGTATAGAGATACATATCTATGAATGCTTTTAAAAAAAGTGTTGACTTTTGTCAGAAATTATGGATTTAATATGAACTTATACCGAATTTACACGAGACACTGAAATGATAGAAATTCGTGCTATTTATAAAATAATATTCGCGGCTATTAGTCAGTATTCCACTTTGGTTTTTAGTTTAACTTTTGGTATTCAATTTCCAGTGGAAATCCGGTTTTAGGTATACTTGGTGCAGTTTTTTTTTTTTTACAAAAGTCCTTTTCTTTTCTCAGATACTTGGCTTGTTCTTCTCCGGACTTTTGGGCATTACTATACGCAACAAGCGAAGAAGAGACCAATTTATCGATCACTAGAAGTGTTAAAAAGTGCAAACGTCTTTAGATATAAATACATAAGTAAGTGAAAAAACAATGTTGCCTGAATAAACATTAGAAAATTATGCATGTAAGTCTAGGTGATTAGTTACATTTATCGATAAGTATGTATTTTGTGCAACGCCTGTTATAATTATTTATTTTATATAAATTTACAACAAATTAAATGCAAGTCAATGTACAATGTTTTATCAAATAAGAAAACTTAAAACATACAAAAATAAATATAAATATATGTATGTATGTAGATCTCAACACGAAAAGACAAGCGAAGTTGCTTTTATTCGAAGAAGTGTTGATAAGTAAGTATGATAAATATGCGGCGTATATATAAAAAGAAGAAACTTTCAAAGGAATTCAATGCCCTCCCCTTTGATATCATATCCTTAGAAAAGCCACACTAGTATTTAAATTATTTTATTTCATTTATTACCATCGGTTACAAAATTAAAATTTTATAACTAAACAAGGGTGCGCTAGCTAGCAGTGCTTTCGGCCTCATTATATTTAAATTAGAAATAGTTTTTAGAAAATCAGTAAAACTAAGTCAGCCGTCAGCACAAAACCGTTTAAGCTTAAAAAATTTGCATACAAATATTTAAAAAAAATTAAAAAAAATTTTGAACGGAATCGTAATGATAAGATTTTTGATGATGTTTTTAACTTTTTTCAAAGATTGGTATAGGAAAAACTTGAATAACTGAGCCTAAACTCTTCTGATTTAGACTTAAGAGGTGTCGGTGGAAAGGTATTTTCTCACCCTTTTTATTTCTTTGCTAATAAACTCATTCAAAGAATGGAAGAGAAAGGTAGGATGAACGAACGTCATTCAAAGTTGAATTAAGTTGTGTTGGTATTTGAAAAAAAAAATAACTGCGACACGAATGATATTTTTTTGGACAGAAATAAAAACAGTGTGAAAATACCTTTCTAACGAGATCCCATAAGTCTAAATCAGAATAGTTTTGGCCCATTTATTTAAGTTTTTCGTAAATCAATCTTTGAAAAAAGTAAAAAAAACAGCATCAAAAATTTCATTCTTACGATTCCGTTGAAAAGATTTTAAAATATTTTTATGCAGATTTTTTAAGCTTAATCTCTTTTGTCATCTGAGGGGACTTTTTTCAAAAAGTTCTTTACAAAACTATTTTTATTCATAAAAAACTCCATTTTTGGAGGTATTTTCAAATCGGTCCAGCTCACTTAAATCTTAATATTTTTCCCAAATATTTTGGTGAACGTCTTAGAATATAATAAATTTTGTAATCCCGCCGGAAAAACTGCAACTTTTTTTGGTGATGCAGTCTAATGTACATACGTTAGGATGCCTAAAATTACCTCCAAAAAAAAATTTTTTTCAAACAAATTTTATTTATAAAGTACATATACATACGAGAGCGTAAAAAACGTATTTTCCATAAGGTCGTTGACTTGATGGACGGTTCATCTAACTGTCGTTTAAGAAGTTTGTTGTTGAAATTACGATTTGTATGCATTGAAGCTCGGAGCTTAGAGTTTCGGGGGGACCAAATATCATTATAGTGGCCAAAATGTTATGTATGATGATTAAGGCGGTTTTAAAAATGCATTTACAAGACGAAGGTATGTATCTCCAAAACCAGTCGCGATACCCTATAACATCATACTATTTCGTCCAAGTTTGTAAATATTTACGCATTTAATTTTTTAAGTGAGTCAATCGGTGTAATCTGTTATGCGAATTCTATACATACATGACAGAAGGCTTAACAAGTGTCAACATTTAAAAATAGAATAAGATTTTTGAAAATAAACTAAATTAAAAATATGCGTATGTTGTTGAAAACCAAATTTACATATTTCAAAAATAAAATCATTGTGACTAAATTCGCTTACAAAGACCACAACAAAAGAATATCATAAATAATAACAACTCGCAAGAAAGATCATGCAAAAATAAAATTAAAATTTTAAAATACTAAATGCGAGTAAAATTCAAATACTAAATACATACATACATATATACGCACAATTGTTTTGCTGCCCCGTATTTTTGCTTGCATTTAGCGTTCTAGTATGTATGTACTTGCGACCGCGAAAATTGGGCGGCTTATTTCATTTCCAAAGTAAATAAAACTTATACAGCTGGCTATTTTCGTTGGATAATAATTATCTAAGCCATGTACGAGTGACTCGTCAGCGAGTCCGTAATGCAAATTTTGGAAAAACTAAGCCAAAAAAAAAATTTTGATTTCCATGCATACATACATACATACATAGAAATTATTTATTTATGTGCATACATATATGTACGTGCCATCAACGGCAGACTCATTGGGCACAACCAAAGACACTCAAAATCTCACAAATTGGCACGTTTCTAACATTGATGGCATTTTATTGCTTGGATTTTTCGAAAATGCGAGTGTTTTGGAAGATTTCAAGTAGCTTTCGCGTTGACAGTTCGTCGTTTGTCTTTAAAGGTGTCGCAAGTGGTGCGCGATTTTGAATATTATTTTTGTGTTTAAAAAGAAAGCAAAAAGTTGTGATTTTTTCAATAGAAAGTTAAATATTAAAAATTGTTGCATTAGTGGAAAAATATATGTAATAAGTAAACATAAAGGAATACCTATAATAAACGGAACTTAAATATGCCTTTGACCATGGCTTTTAGCAGACCGTGTTTGCAATGGACTGTTATTGCATTCAATACGACGAGTTTGGTGGGTTGCTAAATGCGAATAAATACTAAAAAAAAAAAAAAAAATCGCTTTTATTTAATTTTTTTTGAAAAATTAATTCAGTAGAAAACTTCCAAAGAAAAGAATTGAAGAAAAAGAAAAGTGTGTGAAAATTTTTCACAAAAAGTGGAAAAGAACTGAAAAAAATCGAAAGAGGTTTATGATCCAAAGGACATTATACGAGTATTTCATGTGCAAAACAACGTTGACCGACTGTAATTAAATAAATAAAAAAAAATTAAAATTTGAATAAATCGATTATTTCCCTAAAATATGACGAATAAAAGCGGGATAGTGTTTTATGGCGAAAAAAGACGCTTAAAAAAACTTTGGCGAAGAAAGGAGCGTAAACATAGATTTATACCAGGCCAACTCTGTCTCTTCAACATCATTCCCCAAAAACTCTATTTTAACGAGTTTTTCTACGCCGTTAACTTTGTATGCTAAGCGTCTTTTTTCGCGAAATTTTTTTAACGTCTTTTTTCGTAGTCAACTTTTGAGATCGCACTTTTATTCGTGTCTAGTGACGAAGAATACTTACACTCATCTAATGACATCATAGTTCAATTATATTTCCCCTGGAATATCATTTGAGTCGTGTGAAAGGACAATATCTGTGGAATAAACAGAAAGCAGTAAAGCTTCGCGAATAGCGTATATTGCAATTTCAGTGCTTGTGTTCGGTCTTTATTATCGGTATGACACCCGTTAAGAGGGCATAAACGACCTCGGAGATGCATAGTTGTATTACAAACTCTCCTTAAGCTAAAACTCTCGCCATGTCGAGCTATACATCATAACATCATAATAGAGATTAGTTTACGAGACTATGTAGTTATTAAATTCCTTTTTTTAATGCTTCGGTTTCAGATTTTGAAAATTCAAAACGATCGATAAATATTGAATCTAGCTTATATCACAGAAAAGTTAAAATCGAATGTACATACGTACATGGCGTATGAGTTACCCAGACGAGATGAGAATTGTTACTCATACGCCATGTGTGTACGTACGTTCGATTTAAAATTTTCCATGACTAATGGTAGATCCAATAGTAACCCACCATTTTAATTTTTTAAATCTGATTTCTGATTCATAATCAGAGACCTCTAGAACCCCCCATTGCAAAGTTTTAAACGAATCCAATTAATTTTGACCCTAAAGGCATTAGCATCCGTCTTGACCAAATAACTGACAACTGTTTTAACACAATGAATGACAAATTTATTTCAATTCTGGCACGTTTAATTTGATGTATTATAAATTTACGAGTCTTTTGAGACGATTTTTTCACCAATACAGTTAAATTAAAAATACATTTCATTGCATTTCAAAGTTCAGATTACCCTATGAAGACGTCTTAACCGACTCCAATCGGTACCAACATTTATATGTGGGTCATTCCATGTAAAAGAGGAAAACGACATAAATTTTAAACTGCTCTAATTATCTCTATTTCAGTAGTAACCTCTTTTTAAATGACTGTGTTTCATTAATGATTAATCTATTAAAAAAAATAAAAAATTATAATAAAAATGAGTTATAATTTTTGTTAATGGAAACTTTTATTTCATGCATAATTACTTCACACCAGTCCCAAAAATGTCTCACCAGTCACAAATTTAAATAGTTTTTAATATTTCTATGAAGATTATATAAGCCACACACAACACAAAACATCTTTCATGAAAATTTAGTGTTTTGGCCAAAATTCATCTCTTAATGGAACAAAGGCAAAATATAGTTATTTTCAGTGTCCCACCAGTAACATTCAGTCACAAAAATATATGTTGTATATGTTCCGACGACTTAGCGCTATAATTGGCAAATGCTCACATTCTGGAGTAAAATATCCCACCAGTCACAATGGAATGGCCCATTTGATATCTTTAGTGGGTATTAAATGAAAAAAAGTATTTTCAATTTCGTGAGTCTCCATAGAGGCATCGGGCCTCTTTGGGTATTAGACGAAAAAAAAAAAATAATTTTAATTTTTTGAATTTCTATAGAGAAATCTGTTACCAATCGGGACCAAAATTTATATGTGATATCTGTGATCGTGGTATTACCGATTGAGGGGGTGATATTGAAAAAAAAATCCTTCATTTGATTTGTAAGGACCACCCTACTACTAATTCGTTTCTCGATTAAAATTAAGAGCCCATCGCAACTATAGCAAATATTTTTCTCATTTTATTATCAATTTATTAGTTTAATAGTTTTGACAACTAATTACTCACTCAATAAATAAATATCGAAAAATTTCAATCACGAACAACCTTGCAACGTTTTCTACCGCCAAGTCTAAAAACAATGGCGAGCGACGCTTTTGGCAGCTAATAAAATTATGCGCATCACAGCAATCAAAAACAAGTCAAACAATTTCTTGAAAAAATGTAACAATGTGTGATTAATACTAAACGTTAGCACAAAATCGTGATGGAACCAACAATTTGCTGCGACTAAAGCACAAACAGATGTACATAATTATGTTCATTAG